TCCTAGTCCCAGACCTCTTGTTAGCTTGCTGGGTGGCCCTTAAGGGTCCACTGTCCCATCACTACTGCAAGTAAGAATCCAGCTGGCTTGCTGAACAGTTCAATAAACAGAGAAAGGCATAAAGAGACTCCCAAGTGCTTAAGCAGGATACTCCCAAATTGGGATGACTTAATTCTTTCTTCAGTGGGCAATAAGCATCTTTTAACCTCAGTGAATGTAGAATAAGGACCAGAAATGTTTCCAAACTTCCAGTGTTGATTTTTGTATTAAGACATTTATACAAATGGAAATGTGATACTTTAAATACTTAAAACCTTTAAGAGAATTTTGAGTATTCTAACAATTATTCTTGTACTAATTAGAAATATATATTTTAATAACAGATTTAGACTTGTGATATTAAGGTAAAATCTTAATTGTCTGTATTAATATATTTAAAGGAACTTAAGACTCAACATAGGGGAGCTCTGGTAGCATAGTGCCTAAGGCACTTGACTGCTAACCAGAAGGCTGGCAGTTCAAACCCACCAGCCACCCCTCAGAAGGAAGATGGGGAAATCTACTGCTGCAGTGATACTGCCTCGGAAACCCAAGGAGGGGTCGCTATGAGTCGGGCCCGACTCGACGGCACATAAGAACAACAAGACTCAACATATTTACAAATTAAATTTATTGTAAGAACTACATAAGGACTTGAAAGATTGTAAGAAAAAAATTGTGATACTTTTTAAAAAAGGAACATGAATGGTTAAATTTATAAATGTACTTTCAAATGTTCAAAGGAATTTAATAATTAACTAATATGAATAGGATGGGAGCTCTGGTAGCATAGAGCCTAAGGCACTTGACTGCTAACCAGAAGGCTGGCGGTTCAAACCCACCAGTCACTCCTCGGAAGGAAGGTTGGACAATCTACTTTCGTAGTGATACTGCCTCGGAAACCCAAGGAGGGGTCGCTATGAGTCAGGTACAACTCGTCGGCACAAAACAACAACCACAACAACATGAATAGGACTATCTTAGTTATCTAGTGCTCCCGTAACAGACATACCACAAATGGGTGGCTTTAACAAACAGAAATTTGTTTTCTCACTGTTTAAGAGGCTGGAAGTCCGAATTCAGAACACCAACTCTAGGGGAAGGCTTTCTTTCTCTGTTGGCCCTGTGGGAAGGTCCTATCTCCTTTCAGCTTGATTCTTGGCGATCTCACAGTGGCTTGGCATCTATCTGCCCCTGTGTTTGCCTCTTCCTTGCTTGCATTATCTGTTCTTTTTACATCTTAAAAGAGAATGATTTAAAACACACCCTACATGAATACTGTTTCATTTAACATAACTAAGAAAACTCTATCAAATAGGATTATAACTACAGGTATACTCAACCAAACCAAACTCTCTGCCACTGAGTCAGATCTGACCCATAGAGACCCCTCCTTGGGTTTCTGAGGCAATATCACTACGGAAGTAGATTGCCCAACCTTCCCATAGGGACCCCTCCTTAGGTTTCCGAGGCAGTATCTCTACGGAAGTAGATTGCCCAACCTTCCTTCCAAGGGGTGGCTGGTGGGTTTGAACTGCCAGCCTTCTGGTTAGCAGTCACATGCCTTAGGCACTGCACCACCAAAGCTCTTGACCACAGGTATAGGGACTATGCTTTACAATACATACTTTTGGGGACACATTTTAACCCACAGCTAGGACCAAACAAGTGAATGCTAAAATTTATTCTAAGTAGAATTTTAAAATATATTGAAATTAAAAGTTTAAGAAATAACTAGGTTTTGGAATTTATAACATTAAATTTTAGGTTATTTAAAAATTTTTAATACAGATTGAGGAGTAGTTCCTGGGTGCTACAAATGGTTATCAATTAAGCACTGGAGTACTAGCTAAAAGACTGGCAGCTCGAACCTACCCAGACATGCCTCAGAAACGGGCCTGATGACCTACTTCTGAAAGCTCACAGCTTGAAGACCCTGTGGAGCAGTTCTGTCCCGCACACAAGTTTGCCATGTATTGGAATCAACTCGATGGCAATTGACAACAGCCACCATACTGATTGACTTTCAACAGCTTTTAAAATGTTAATTGAGGTAAAGTATACATAACAGAATGTTTGCCAGTTTAGTCTTTTTTAAGTATACAATTCAGTGACATTAATTATATTCACCATGTGCAACCATCACCACTCTGTTTCTAAAACTTCTTCATCAGCTCAGACATAATAAACTCTTATCCCTTATGCAATAATTCATTTCCCCTACCCCAGTAAAGGAGATCTGACGGCACAGTGGTTAACGCATTTGGCTGCTAACCAAAAGGTCAGCAGTTCTAACCCACCAGTCACTCTGCGGGAGAAGGGTAAGACAATCTACTCCTGTAAAGATTTACATACAGCCTTGGAAACCCTATGGGGCAGTTCTACTCTGTTCTTTAGGATTGCTATGAGTCAGAATCTGGTAACCACTAATTAACTTTGGTCTCTGTTCATTTGCCTATTCTAAATATTTCAAATAAATGGGATCATACAATATTTGTGACTTACTTCACTCAGCATGTTTTCATGGTCAGGGTTCATTCATGTGGTTGCATGTTTCAGAACTTCATTTCTGTTTGTGGCTGAAAATTATTCCATTCTAAGGATATAAGAGGAGCTCTGGTGGCATAGTGCCTGAGGCATTTGACTGCTAACCAGAAGGTTGGCAGTTCAAACCCACCAGCCACTCCTTGGAAGGAAGATTGGGCAATCTACTTCTGTAGTGATACTGCCTCGGAAACCCAAGGAGAAGTCGCTATACTACATTTTGTTTATGTATTCACCTGTTGATAGTTACCTGTATAGTTTCCATCTTTTGGAAATTTTAAGTAGTGCTGCAATGAACATTAGTGTACAAGTATGAATATTAGTTTTCAAAATCGAATTAAGAGTACAGACGTCCTTTGGTATCTGGAAGGTGGTTGGTTCCAGAACCAGAGAATACCAAAACCTCTGTATGCTTAAGTTCCTTATATAAAATGGCCTAGTATTTGCGTATAACCTATGCACTTCCTCGCCTATATTTTAAGTCATCTTTAGATTACTATAATACCTAATACAATGTAAATGCTATGTACATAGCACATTACACTCCCTCTTCACCTTTGAAGGATTGCTTTGACCACTTAATTGCAATCCAAAGTTTACTCAATTTGCAGATACAGAACCCATGGATACGGAGGGCCAACTGGAATATTTTCTGCTCTCACACACCACCTTTAAAACAACAACAACAACAACAAAAAAAAACCCTGAACTTAAAAATAAATAAATAAAGGATTACAATGCAGTAATGAAACATGGAACATTAACTGGACAGGATGGATGTAAAGCCGGGAGGGCCAGCAGTAATGAGTTCCATGGGCTGGCGGTCTCAGGAGAATAAAGCAATATTGTGGAAGTTACCAAGCAACCAAAATCATGAGAACTTGATTGGGGGCCTAGCATGGTAGAGTTGAAAGATGGGGCAGTTTCTGACCTAGGCAGTAACAGAGAGGTGACCGCAGTAATGGGTGACAACTGGAGAGAAAGGAGGGTCATTTGAGATGAGGAGGAGATCAAGGACTTGATAAACCAAACAATAAAAAAACAAACTCACTGCCAGCGAGTTGATTTTGACTCATAGTGACCCCTCCTTGGGTTTCCAAGCAGTACCTCTACAGAATTAGATTGCCCAGGTGTCCTTCTGAGGAGTGGCTGCAGGGTTTGAACCACCAGCCTTCTGGTTAGCAGTCAGATGCCTTAGGCACTACACTACCAGAGCTCCCCAAAGGTGGGGGAGAGATGGGGGAGCATAATAATAACATGATCGTGTATATGAATGGCGCCACTTGGTATTGTGTACAACCTGCAAGGTGCTTCTAAGTCCTGAATCGCCAGTATGATGACATGAGAAGGTGTATAGGTGAGACAGGAGATAGAATCCTTGGTAAGCAAAAATTATAGTTCATAATTGTGTTAGTATCAGACTACAGCAAGGAGCTCTGGTGGTGCAATGTCTAAGGCATTTGACTGCTAACAAGAAGGTTGGTGGTTGAAAACCACTAGCCACTCCACAGAAGGAAGATGGGGGAATCTACTTCCACAAAGATTTACCTTCTTGGAAACCCAATGGAGGTCGCTGTGAGTTGGAATTTACTCCATGGCAGTGGGGTTTTTTGGGTTATAATAGTTACAGGAGCCCTGGTGGCACAGTGGTTAAAGCAAAAAAGATGAGGGCAGTCCACTTCCATAAAGATTTACAGCCTTGGGAACCCTATGAGGCCATTTTCCTGTGTCCTATAGGGTCTCTATGACTGTCTACTACACCATAGCGGAGTTTCGGTGTGGTATAATATACACTATATGGGAGCTCTGGTAGCATGGTGCCTAATGCATTTGACTGCTAACCAGAAGGCTGGCGGTTGAAACCCACCAGCCACTGCTCGGAAGGATGACTGGGCAATCTACTTCCGTATAGATTACTGCCATAGAAAGCTGAGGAGGGATAGGTATGAGTCGAAATCGACTCCACAGCAGTGAGGTTTTTTTTTGTCTTTTTTTCATATATGTTTATATATGTTATGAAACCACTTGCCCTATAAGTAAGTTCAGTACAGTTAATACTATTAGCCCCATTTTACAGTTAAGAAAAGCAAAACAAATCACAAAATCGAGTCCTGAACACACTAGATCAACAGCTCAACACCCCACACTTCAGCGGAACTAATTTTCTGGGTCAAGATTCCGTATCTCCCTCCCA